ATTTTATAATTTATTATAATTCTATAATACTTAAACAATTTTATTTTACTGTTATCTATTAAAATGAGGTATTTGGACAAAACTTAAATTTATTATTATTTCCGCAGAAGGGAGTTTCTGATGAATAGAGGAGAATTTTAATACATTTAAACACTGTGACTATAAAATTTATTCATTTAAAAGTGGTTTCTATCTAATAGAGGGTCCAATAAATCACTGTATGGGTAAGCAAGTTGTTGAAAATTGACGTAATAATGGGTTAAGTTTTCTTGCAAGTCTATAAGTTTGCTCTACAGTGAAAAAGAACTACATTTATTGGTGTATATCCTGTAACCTTGAAAATTATTAAAACGTTCAAAAGCTCCCCTACAAATTTGCTTTAAATACAGGTTGACTAACAAATATTATGTGGAAAAACTAGTAGATGAACTAATGTTTGAACGGTTCGTGTGTTTGTTTTCCGTTTGATGTAGCAGACCACACGTCGCCTTAAATATGAAGTGGTTATCCGAAAATAAAATATTTATCGTGTCTCAGTGAGCAAATTATACGCTGTCCCTCTCGGATAATGTCCAAATATATTATTTAATGCCTTATTTAATTTTAATGTTAACCATGGAAACGGTTTTATATTACTAATATGTACGTAAATTATGTTTTTGACCATTATTTATGTTCTTTGGAACAAACAACTGTATCCATTAGTCTTTATAATAAATACAACTTGAAGTAATCTTTTAATAAACTTTTAGAACTTTCTTTAAATGTTAAAAAAAAAAAAGAAACTAGTTATGTTGTTTCTTAATAATTCGTAAGAACGAATGTGTATATGCGTGTATGTCTGTACACGCAAAAGAAGATCGGGTTTTGGTCGAAGGTTCAGTGCCAAATGTTATATTTAAATTGATGTCTACGTCGGCAATAGCTCTATGCGTAAAATCTTTTTCAGTTCCCTCGTGGTTTTCAGGATAACTCCCTGTCCTTTTATCGATCAATTTCTTAGCGTTCACATAAATCATTGTTGTATGTGTGGTTCTTATTGTTATAATTGCGTGGTTTTAAAACAATTATAATAGACAATTGGATACATATTTCTGTTTACAACGTAAGTCTCAACAAATTATCCTCAGTGTATTGTATTGTTTTTCGATAAAACTATAATAACGTGAACTAAATCATTATTTCAAATGTAGTATTTAATTAAAATCAGCTATAGTTATGTTTATTACAATTCAATAGTTAAATATAAATGAATTGCTAGAAATAAGTAAAATGTGTAATATTTACGCCATGAATTTACAAATAGAAATTATTTAAAATACTTGGTTAATTTCAGTAATTTTATTTTTTATATATTGCATAATGTTTTGTTGCCGGCTTTGCCGACATAAAAACATGACCCTGTTCTCCCTAGTCCTATGTCGAGTTTTTTGTTATTCTAATTTAAATTATTAACCTGATTGATAACTATACTTTAATAAAATTCTACCTATTGAATCTAGAGTAGTTTAGAAAACAATATAAAAATACTCCACTAACTGTAGTTAGTTATAATTACTACATTTACTAGAAATATTATTTCGTTATAGGTAAATATTCAATTAATAAAATATTATTTTACTCGGGTTTTTTTTTCAAATAATTTTTTTATTATTAAAAAAAAATCTTGAGTAATAAAATTATTTACTTTTGACATACTTTAAAATCAACTAATAAAAATTTAAACTATTTATATTTTTTGAGTAATTTATCAATCAATACCAGTATATTAGTTAAAAAAAATTCTATACTAGTTTTTACTAACTATTTATGAGTATTTTTATATGTAGATAATTTTAATGTTACATTATTTATTACAAAAGTTATTATCACAGACTAATTTAAAAATAATAAAAATGGGAAAGTTAATAGTTAAATATTTATAAAATTTTACTATTAATTTGATTTAAAAATATACAGACTTTAAAAGAGCTTAAAAATATTTTTTTTATTTCAATTAATATGAAGTATATAAAGTACGTTCTTTCTGATTCCAATTTAGAAAAAAAATCCAAAACAAATAAAACGAGACTTAAGGAAAAAAGTTACTATTTAAACTTATAAAAATATGTCTTAACTTTTTTTTTTAACGGATAATATATATTTAATTTTAAAGAATTTAATTCAATTATTAACTATTGTTTTTAAATAATAATAAAAGCAAATCTCTCCCGATAAATTGATATATTAAAAATCAAGAGCATTCTGTTAGATTATATTATAAAAATCATAACAAATGTTTTCGGACAGAGAGCATTTTCTATTATAAAAATAATTTTTGTTTTTAACTTCGATGCAAAGCTGAAAAGTTATTAATTAAATTATATGTTATTTTATTTTTTATGTTTGTTATTACTAGTTTTCAGTTCCAACAAAATCAATTTTAGACAACGATATTTAGTTGGAGAAATTACACTCAAATATTGAAAATATTTTTCTCATTTTTTTTAAATGGGGTAAATGCCCAAAAAATTACGATTTTTAAATTAAAATTAAAAATTTTCTTTTTTCTTAAACCTGTCATAATTTTTGAAAAAATTGATGAATATAAACAAAATATTTTTCATAAGTACTATACGTGTCTCTCTTTTATGGAGTAATTTTTTTGAAAATTTGACTATCTATCTGCTAAAGGGAGGGAATAAAAATAGTTAATTTTGGATAAAAATGAACTTTTTCAACATAAATTTTAAATAATAAAAATGATCACTTGTGGTTACTTATTTAAAATTAAAATTATATTATGAATATTTGACTCAAAAAGTTTCTAAAATATTGCGGATAAGTATTTCAGGAACAATGTTACCATTATCAAAACTTTTAGAGTGTTTACTTTATTTTTTTAATTGATTATATACAAATCTATATAAAAATGATCTAATTAAGAAAAATTTTGACCTCTCAATTCTGAAATTATAATTTATATATAGAGTGGGGGAAATGTGGGTTTTGTTATTTTTGTTGTTATACATTACTTTTTCTACCTCGATTTTATTTTTAAAAATGTTAATAACTTCTGAAATACTAGTTCAAAAATTGTTATCAACCGATCATTTTCTAAATTAGATAATTTTTTATTTTATAATCTTTCAGAATATGTACGTTGCTATAAAAAACATAAATTTGGCATTCTTATAAGTATATGAGATGAATTAAAAAAAATTAATAATTGATTAATCGAGAAATATATGAAACTAAAAAATACTAAAAAGAATTTTCTTCATATAGTTACTATTTCAAGAGAAATCGAGTGCCTAATTTAAAGAAAATTACACTGCAATTACGTGTGTTTTTTGGTGTTGCTTTTAAAACAAACCAAAATTCGTTTGATTTTCAAGATTTACCGATACATTTATATTTATTTTTGTTGTTTGATCCTTAAATAAGTTGAAGATGAAGTCTATCTTTCCAATCAATTCCTTTTTTTCTTAATATCTTGAATAAGATTCTCCAATTCACTTTATCGAAAGCCTTCTCTAGATCTATGAATGTCGCTATAATATTTCTATTCAGTGTAATTATTCTCTCAGGGATCTATCTCAGTGCTAAAATCGCTTCTCTTGTTCTTCGCCCTTTTCTAAATCCAAACTGATTTTTCGATATATTTTGTTTTCTCTCAATTTGTTCTTGATAATGTTTAGAAGTGTTTTGAAAGCGTAAGAAAGGAGCGCTATAGTTCTATAGTTTCCACATTTCGTAACATTGTTTTTCGTCGGAACTGTTATTGTTCTACTCTTGACAAAACCCATCGGTAGACTTCTTCTATTGTAACTATATTTAATAATTTTAAACAATTGATATATTATCTTTTTCCTTATATTTTTTAGTAATTTAGCCGGGATATCGTCAATCCCTGTTGCTTTTTTGTCACTCAGTTCTCCTAGAGACTTTTCAAATTCACTCATCAGTACTTCGGGTCATTTTCTATCTTCATTTACATCTATTTCATTTTCTATATATTCCTCTTCACTTGCGATTTCCTCTTTTCCGTCATACAATCCTCCATATACATTTTCCAACTCTATACTACCTTTGAATTTTCAAACAGATTTTTGCCATATTTAATGTGTTTGGTTGGGTTTTTTTTTATCAAGAATAATAATTAATATATTAATTAAAAACAATTATTTTTATAGTTTTTATTAGAATTTAAATTACACATCTATGTGTATTTTACTGACAACATACTTATATGTTACACACTTTAATTTAAATCAAATTTGAAATATTATTAAATATAAAAATATGTAGATTATTTATAAATTAAAGTAATTTTTTTTAATATTTCATTAGTATATTCTAATTTATGTATACTATTTATATTATATACAGTTACATTATTCTATCATATATATATACTATTTTATTAGTTTATATAGAGAAAATTGTGTAGTATGTTGAATTTATTGTAACTCATATTAAACATTTTTGAAGATATTGATGAATTGAATGAAACACTTTTCTCTTTAGAAAATATATATTTAAATAAACATTTATTTTTTCTAAATACGAAAATTAAAAATATTTATTAATATTTACCGAGATTTGAGTAATTCAAACTCTCGTAGGTTTGGTAAAAACATTTTATCATTGATTCGATTTTATATATTCTTCCGTGTATATGTATGTTAGTATTCATAATGTATGAACATTTTTGTTTTTACAATATATATATAACGAAATAAATAATAAAATGTAAATTGAAAGTGTTAAGTCTGTGATTTTATATACATTTTCAGCTTCAATTGATATTTTTATAGCTCTATTATTCAACTTTTTAACATTTTTAAATTTTTTTATCAACTTTTTTCATGGTTCTCTATTAAGTAATTTGTGTTATTTAATTTAATAGAATTTTAAATATTCTTTTTATTTATTATTCTCATTTATGCTCATATAGTAACTCATTTAGAAATTTTATTTGAGATATTACCAGAATCTAGATTTACTACCAGGTAGGATAAAGCTGGAAATACCTAGAATTTTTTATAGCTCTCCTGGCAATTTCAGGGTAACAATGATGATATTAATTTTGCAAAATTTGTCGCCGTGCTTAATATGGAGTTAAACATATTTCTTTTTTTATGCTCTTTATCTTTTTTTTAGTAATTTTATAAAATATGACATAACATATTTTATGGTTGACTCAATGCTTAGAGCCCCTCCTAGAAAATATATTTGAATTTAAAACTGTGTTTTATTTAAACTCACAAATACATTGACAATCGATGTATCAAAATAATACGTTTAATTAGCCTCAAATAATTAATAAATAAATATATCATTGTACGTAGGAAAATTTTGTAAAAATAAAATGTATGTAATTCTAAATGGACACGTTTTATATAAGAAATTAATTGTTTTACTCATTTTTAAAGACATATTATTGTCACTCTATTTATATGTTCATTACTAACGCTTCATTCCGAGGTCATAAGAGATGCCATCAGTACTGTATTTTAAGCATTTTCCTCAGTTTGGCACCAAACATACATTAATCGTTATTTTTATTATAATTAATTGACCCAATTTTAATATTCTTTATGTGTATACTTGATCATTCTAAAAGAAAGACTTACAAATTAAATAAAAATATATTTGATGTTTAATTATTTTTTGATTACTTATTCTATCTATATAAAACAAATCTGAATAAATTATCCACGAGTTACATTATTTGATGATAATACTTTTATATAATTACAAATAAAATCACCAAAATATCTACATTGTTACTTTCATTTAATTTGATTTTTCCTTTATAACCTTGAACTTAAAAGTAAAGATGAAAATCTTCGTGGGTTATAAATAGACTACTGCAATTTAGCTATCACTCGTTAACTTTTTAAAAATAAAGTTTGTTTTATATTTTTAACAGAAATTATGACATTATTTCTTATTAAAAAAAAAATAATGGTGATTGAACAAAAAAGTATACACATCTGCCTATGTAATATACAGAGAATATTAATTAAAATGTTTAAAAGACGATGAAAACTTTATTACACTAAAATATTAGTGATACTCTCCTGTTTCACAATCATGTTAAAACATTATTAGTGAAAATATAATGAAGTTTATTTTGTAGTAAAAAATT